TTCTCTCAAATGATATAATTGTGCTCAGTGGGGATGATCTTTAGGGGTAGTAGGCAAGATTGGAAGCATCAGTCTCCACAATTAAATCTAGCTGAGGGGTTGGGTGGTAAAGTAGGGTTACGGTAGTAAATTTTACCTTTAGTGGAACAGTTCATTACTGGAAGACTTCACAAAACTGAAACAATTGTGTCATAGGTGCTGTGACAGTATCATAGGCTGGAATGAACCTGTTATAATAGTTCATAAAGCCCAGGAAGTACTGGGTGTCCTTCAAGTTTCTAGGAGCCTGCCACATAAGGATAGCCTATACCTTGTGAGGGTCTGTAATGATTCCTTGGGGAGTACTGCAATGTCCAAATAATCCACCTCTGTCAGATTGAAGACAGACTTTTCAGTTGCCCTTGCCATCTGAAGCAAGATGGGTGGCAACTTGGGGTCTGATATACACCACCAGAGGGAAAAGAGGCAAGTGAAAATCAATTTCACTCTCTGCCAGACAGCTGTGAGTGAAATTGACGAGGGAAAGACTGCTCTCTGCCTTCCCTTCTCTAGCTGACAGAGGGTAGCTGGAGAAGGGTGGGCAGTGAGCTCAGGCATGTTTAAAATTCCTTTCTTTCCTTCCCCGATCTGGGGAAGGGAAAGGCACTTAAACATGCCCCCCTTCTTCGAGTTTCTCTGCAAAAGTGGAGAGGCTCAGGGAAGGAAGGGAGCATGTCTACATGCCTGCCCTTTTCTCCCCCAGCCAATCCACTGCAGTGGACTGGCTGGGGAAGCAATGGATGGGCATGCAAACATGCCAGGCTTTCCCTGCCTGATCTTCTCCAGGTGCCCCACAGCTGCGGAGCTGCTGAAGAAAATCAGAAAAGGGGCCCAGGCATGTTTTAAATACCTTTCTTTGCCTTCCCCAATCTGGGGAAGGGAAAGGCATTTAAACATGCCCCCCCAAGTTTCTCTGCAAAAGTAAAAGGCTCAGGGAAGGAAGGGGGCATGTCTACATGCCTGCCCCTCCCTTCCCCAACTGCAGTGGGTTGGCTGGGGGAAAAAAGGACAGGCATGCAAACATGCCTGGCTTCCCCAGCATGGTTTTTTAGAAATAAGATTTTTATTTAAATATTAAAAAACAGACATAAATATCAAGTGCACACCCCAGTCCCCATATAGAAGAACCTAGTGTACACAGAAGAACAAAAAAGGCAAAAAAAAAGAAATGCGAAAAATAAGCAAATTATGGCATTGGTAGAGCTCAACATTCAGCATAAATACAAAGAGAAGGAATTCTTTCCCCTTTTTTCTTTTCATATAAACATGAATAATTAATGTATAGTTACAACATGATTAAAGCATAGGGACCCGCTCAGTCTGGAGGAAGTTGACAGATTGCTCATATCTGTGCGCCCAACCACTTGCCACCTGGATCCGTGCCCTTCCTGGCTTATTAAAGCAGGCCACGAGGGGTTTCGAGGTGCCGTAACGGAGATTATCAACAAGTCTCTCTTGAAGGGACGGTTCCCTGAGGCACTTAAGGAGGCGATGGTCCGCCCCCTCCTGAAAAAAACAACTTTAGACCCAACCGAACTGAACAACTACCGGTCGGTGTCTAATTTGCCCTATTTAGGCAAACTGATTGAGCGGGTGGTGACAACCCAGCTTCAGGGCTTCCTGGATGATGTTTCTGTCCTTGATTCACTCCAGTCCGGCTTCCGCCCAGGATATGGGACGGAGACGGTGCTGGTTGCCCTTACTGACGATCTCCGGAGGCATCTGGATCGAGGTGGTGTGGCAGCACTGTTGTTGTTAGATCTGTCGGCCGCATTTGATATGGTCGACCACCAGTTGCTGACCCACCGTCTCGCCGAGGTGGGGATTCAGGGGCTCGCCCTTCAATGGCTTGCCTCTTTTCTCCAAGGTCGGGGACAAAGGGTGGCGATAGGGGAACAGCAGTCCTGGAAGCACCTGAGTGTGGTGTGCCTCAGGGGGTGGTGCTTTCTCCGATGTTTAACATCTACATGCACACCCTCGCCCAGATTGCCAGGAGTTATGGGTTGGGTTGTCATCATTATGCAGATGACACCCAGCTCTATCTGATGTTGGGCGGCCGGTCGGACTCCGATCCAGAAGATCTGAACCGGGCATTACAGGCAGTGGCTGGGTGGCTCAGGCTGAGCCGATTGAAGCTAAACCCAGCTTCAGCAGTTGGTTCCCTTCCTTGACCGCGATGACCTGGCTACAGTGATCCATGCGACAGTCACCTCAAGGTTTGGCCATAGCAAATCATAGGATAGTCACAGGCTAAAACCCTATTTAGGCTAGAGTCTAGACTATGGTATCAGTTTTTGGCATTAAACATTGGATCATTTGGAAAACCATGTGAATGACTGAGGCAGGTGTTTGTTAAGGTCACCTCAAGGTTAGACTACTGTAACGCTCTCTACATGGGGCTGCCTTTGTCGCAGCTCCGGAAACTGCAGCTAGTGCAGAATGCGGCAGCCAGGCTGTTGATGGGTCTCCCCAAATGGGAGCACATCCAGCCTGGGCTGAAAGCGCTGCACTGGCTGCCAATAGTGTACCGGATCCGCTTCAAAGTGCTGGTTCTTACCTTTAAAGCCCTATATGGCCAGGGTCCAACCTACCTGAGGGACTGCCTTTCCCCATACATACCCCCAAGAGCACTTCGGTCGGAGACGCAACATCGCCTGGTGATCCCAGGCCCCCGGGAGGTAGCTTGCTGTGACCAGGGCAGATCTTTTTCAGTGGCGGCCCCCACCTGGTGGAACGAGCTCCCGAAGGAGATCAGGGCCCTGCGGGACCTTATACAGTTCCACAGGGCCTGCAAGACGGCGCTCTTCCACCAGGCTTTTACATAGGGGCCTCCCCTTCTACTACTACCACCACTGTTACAACGGGGTTGGGAGTGGTCCCCGGAAGAACGGCCATAAATTCGCATGGCACTGATGCCGCTGGACTGGCTTGGACCGGCTTGGACCATCAACAGGACAATTTCACCTAAGGAAATGATTGCTACCATCCTCAGAGACCATCTTGTCTGCATGGAGCACTTTATCTGTTGTTGTGATTTAATGGTTTTTACTGTTTTATATTGTTTTATGTATGGGCTTATGCCCCTGTGTGAGTCACCCTGAGCCCGTTCGCGGGGAGGGCGGGGTAAAAATGCAAATAAATAAAGAAATAGGGAGAGGCTTATTTAACTTTATCCGATAATCTGAGGAAGGGCTTAAACATACTTTGGGTATTGTTCTGAGTTGTGTATAAAATAAAATCATGCCACGTTTCAAAAAAGTCTACAGTTGTGGCTTTCGATTTGATTATTCTAATTTGACTTAGAATCGCTGAAAATTAGCTGGAAACCCAGCATGTTTTAAATGCCTTTCTTTCCCTCCCCGATCTCAGGGAGGGAAAGGCAGGCATTTAAACCCAATAGCTGGCTGGCAGCTCAGCCTGTTAGGTTTAAATGAGGTTTTTGGTATAGCAAAATGAACCCGAAAAAAGCCAGATAATATTGGCTTTTTTTGGTCCAGCTATACTGGTAGCCGAATACAGACCTCTGATCTGTATTCGGCTGATATAATACCCGAAAAATACCGACAAGGTATTTTTTCGGTTCAGCTATTGCCGAATGCACACCCCTAGTGGCAACTCGAGACAGGGATTTCTTGGTCATGGGATCAAAACTTTGGAACTGCCTCCCCAGTGAGATTCATCTGTCTCCCAGTGTTGCTGCCTTCTGTCAGTGGCTTAAGGCTTCTTTGTTTTGTTTGGCATACCCCCAGTAACATTTATTAGTCCTCCTCTCTGGTTCTGTTGTTATTTATGTGTCTTTAATGAGCAGTTTCTGGTTCCAGTTGGTCAGGCTGGGTGTTTGTTGGCAGCATGCTCATGCTTTTATTTTGTTTTAATTCCTTTCTCTGGCATTTGGTTTTCCCTTTGGGGGAGAGAGAACTCTCATAAAGATAATAATTGTACTGTGAAGGAGTTTTCTCTGACCAGCTGTTGCTTTTTTGGCTTGTTTTGGCAGGGAAGGCCGTCACAGGAGAGTAGTATATTTTGTTATTGGTCAGAGAAGGCATTTTGTTCTATATTATTTTATCCTATTTATTTATCTTATTTGCTGTTTATTATATTTAAGAGATACAAAGCCGCCAGCTGTACACTGTATTTAAGAAGGCAGCAGGCAAAGTGTAGTATGATTTTCTGAACAAATAAAGATAAAAGGAAATTTAGTGTCTCTCTACAGACCTCAGTCCATCCCAGAGCTCCATAGAGAAGTTGACCACCTACTTTTGCATTAAAAACTGAGATAGCAGCCTTTTAGCCATTACGATTTCTGTGAGGGTGCATTCCACTCTACCTGTTCAAAGGCTTTTTCCATGGCTGCTCCAGTATTGTACACGGCAGTATTGTACATTGCAGAGGAAAGTAGAAGCTTTACATCTCTTTTGTAAGCCATTTTGAGCTACCATTAGAAGATGGGATATAAATAAATAAATCTGTATGTGGATCCCATGTCATGAAGGGTTTTAAAGGTAAACACCAACTCGACAACCAATGCAAAAGTCACAAGCCAGGTGTAATATGATCCATGTGGTCCACCCTGATGATGGATGATCTGCTATATTTTTTTTACCAATTCCTGTTTCCAAATAATCTTCAAGAACTACCTCACACAGAGCACGTTGCAGTTTTCAAGCCTTGAGATTATGACTGCATGCATCAATGTGATCAGATTGGAAGTCTCCAACTAGGGGGAAGGCTTCTGAGTCAGAGGTAGTTGGTAAAAAGCACTTTTATCCTCTGCAGCAACTTGTTTCTCAAATACTAGAGCAGTACTCCTAAGGACTTGTCTGACGAAGAAAAATTGGGACTCCAAAGTAAAACATTACACAACTTGTCAAAATGCAATTTTAATATGAAACCCATTAAAAATACCACTGAGTGTAACAGAAGTTTCAATTATTCTCAATACATTTTGAAAGGCACAAAAGAATATTCAACATCAGAACAGTTTGTACAGCATGACATCTGAAACATTAGCTAATATAGCTTACAGTAGGGCTGGCTCATTTACAGTAACTATCTGAATAATTCAAATAAGATCTTGAACCTAGTAAATTTGGAGTCAAAACACAATTGTGTTCTCGAATTGGTTAACATTGCAACCCACATTGAACATCAGTCTTTGCTTCTTTTGAACACAGTAGACTCCCTGTTTCATAAACCCCATTAACTGAAACTACAAAAGAAGTAAAAATTAATTTTGACATGTCAGTAATGTTTCAGCTAACCAGATAGCAGCATCTCTAGTAGTTTACAGAGTTCCCTGATAAATACGGTAATGTTTACCTGCCTCTGTTGCATGCTTCCCCTCAAAGTTAAAAAGCCACACTATCCATTTGAAAGGCCTACATAAAAAGACAACGTTCTGCTTTTATGTACTGCTTATCTATCAACATTATAAATTACAGAGGATGAAATAAAGTGGATTAGGAACATTACCAGTTGAAATGGTATTGCTCCATTATTTAATCAGACACAGCGACAAGACTGTGACCATTTCCTGAATGAAAATGGAACTTAAGCACACACAGTGTACAATTACTGATTTCCACTGCGCCAATATCAAACTATTATTGTCTGGCCAAAACTGTCACACTATTGCACAGTCCAGTCAGGTAAAGCAGATCACAATCAGTGTTCCCATGGTATGGCTCAAAACCTATGGATGCCTAGTTAATAGGACTGCTATCCAGGCTTCGGCTTTTTTCCAGGTGCATCTTCCTGAAGGTCTCAAATGTGGCATTGGAGCTCCTGATAACTTCATTCTTCTCCAATAGTTCCATTGCAGTATCGAGTGGAATACGATCGTCAACTGCAGAATGGCAACAAAGACAACCCATGGTTTCAATTTCTGTTTTTTTAACTGTAAATATTTACATCCCACTCTTCAAGGTTGCTAACCTTGAAACCTGCCCCTCCCAAAATCTGCAAATTGGGAGGAGGATCAATTTTGGACTTTGCATTTCAGACACTCCCAGTGCCTCAGAAGTTGTGTTTTATTTTGAGTTTGTTTTTTTGAGAGGGCATAGGAGAGAGAGAGATTATCATAATCATTATGACCAAATCTGTGAATTCCTGACCACCAAAAAGGAGATTTGCTGAGCATCCTCTGCATGTGAAATTCAGATACAATAAGCAGTCAGTCCCTCATGTGCATTCTGGAGTGTACACTCACATAGAAAACTGACCCTCTGAATCAAATGCAGTGGTAGCTTGGGTTGTATTTGATGTCTGGAATCACACGAAAACTTTTTGATAAAGTTTAGTGGTGTGGTTGTTTTTCATTTTAGAGCAGAAATATTTTTAAATGCTGCAGAGCCCATACTTAAGAATGGTACAAGTGACACACAGCATTACAATATATTACAGAAATTTTAGGAACAGATAAATGACATCTACCATAACAAATCAGTCTCCATAATTGTATCTATCAGGCAGTTTTATTGGCCTTACATTTGCATTAAATCTCATCTTATATATATAGTGCATTATAATTAACAGAAGCAGGAAGCAGCACAGCAGCAATATGAGTCACTTCGCATTCGTAAACCAGGTGCAAGAGGTAGGAAACAGGTCAGTAATCCAGGTTCAGCCTGGATGTTATTTTTGTTCTGAGCTGTACTTCCCAAAACATAGAATTTTAACTTTACTCTAAAAACTGAGTTACCTTGAATTTCCTTTTCATCAGTTTTTCTTCTCTTTTGAGGAATGTAATTTAACCAGTCTTCTCTTCTACTTTTGACAGCTGCAAGCAATAAATAAAAGCTTTACAGTCTTCAGACTAATGTAGATGTAATGTAACTACTAATGTTAAACATTAATCAGCTAATGGCTAAGGTGTCAGAACATAGTCTACATACCATGATGATCTCCCACATCATCTGAGAACAGCCATCTTTGTACCGATTATGCACACTTTCATTAAGTGTTCCATGTATGGTTAACTCTATTTATTCAACTTATATTCCACCCTCCCTCCACAAGCGGGCTCAGGGTGGATCACAACAGCAGTTTGACAAAATCATTACATCATAGTAATTAAATAGTTAAAACAATTAAAACAAAAAGGCACAATAATTTAAGACAGGTAGCACTATAACAAGAAAGATGTAACCAAAGCAAATAGGCCATAACCCCAAAAAATATGTGGACCTTCTTAGTCTGAGCCATACAGAGATAGAAAGCTTCAACAAGGGAGGCTGAATAATTGGGCGCCTGCCACCTCAACCAAAGACTTCTCTTATATCTTGTATTTGTATGCTAATTTACCGCCTTTCACAGATCCTACCAACTGCCTTAATAAGCTTAGCTATAATCACCCACTTATGCATCTTAAGGCTAACTAGTCCTTCTGGCAACTAAACTCCCCCCCCTTCCTATACGTAATCATTGAGGAAATTCTGTTTCACTGTATCTGAAGAAGTGTGCTTGTACACAAAAGCTTATACCTTGAATGAAACTTTGACAGTCTTAAAGGTGCCACTGGACTCAAACTTTGTTCTATAAAATTAGCAATTTAACAATATCAAAATCATTTCTATTATGCATTTGGCCTTACATAATTAATTTATTCCAGTACAGAAGGGTTTCATCCATTAAAAATATATACAGTACCTGAAACTGGAATTATCTCTTTTTCAGGAAGTTTCTTTGCATCTGAAACATCTTCAGAGACCAAATTTCTAAACACTATTTCTGGACACATCTTGAATTCAAGCATCTGGGGTTTCACCGCTTCAGATTGCTGGGAAGACAGAATATAGTTTTTGTTCTCAGGGTGTTCTGAAGCATTGCTTGGTTTTACATACCACGCAGATTTGGAAGGTGATTGTTCTAACTCTGTCAAGCAAATGCTTTGGTCCATCTGCTTGAATGCAACTTTATTCAAGTAGTTTTTCTTTTGCTCTCTCTGAAGCGTGAGTGTATTGATTTTTTTACCACAAGGTGATTTTTTATCAGAAAGAGTTTTCACAAAGCACTTGTCTCTCTTATAAGCACCCCTTTTGCTTGAAGAAAGAGCTTTGTTCATATTAAGAAGCTGCCCTCTAAACGTTTGCAGTTTAGAAGTGTTTGAAAGTAATCTTCTGTATTTCCATATATTTCCTCTCTCTTCCGGATAGGCAAATTTCTTCAGATTCGTTCTTACCAAGCTGCCTTTATTCTGCTCAACTGGCTCAGAATTATTGGAATCCCTATGTTCCATTCTCACAGTTTTGTTATTCTCCAAATTGCTCTCAATTTTGCATTTCTGTCTGTTTACATGTTCTCGGGAATGCTGAGCATTATTGTCCACTTTGGAAACCAAGTCAACATTACTTAAGTTTGAAAAGTCTGTTACAATACTACATGGTCTTTCTTTAGTTTTCTGTTTTCCTTCACTTGCGATGTGTTTCTTCAACCCCCTTTTAAAGGTGCGAGTTGGTCCCTTAATTATGTGTGTTTCACTTGAATCCCGTTTAATTTTATATTCTTTTTTACTGTGCTTGTTTTCCATACGTCTACGCAGGAGAGTATTTGATTTTGATTTATCAACAACTGTCTCTCTTGAAGTTCTCTTTTTGACAGACAATTCTCTTTCACAGGCAGAGCGTATAGATTCCCTTTTTGAGTAATCTCTTACTGAATACAACTGTTCTTGACTTTGAGAAACCAATGTACATTTTTGCTTCCACAGTCCATCAATCTGAACTTTTTCTAGCACTTCTATGCCCTGCTCTTTATTTTTCGGTTTCTGAGGCTCTAATTTCCCCAAGAAAGGACGTGGAGTAAGTCCATTATCATCTTTCAGTGGCTTACATTCCTTTTCTTGAAGGTCACTTTCTCTTCCTGCATAGGTTTTACTCAAAATTCTGTTACTTTCAACTTCTGAAGGAAAGTTATTGCTAATAGGACATGGAGTCTGCTGTTGATTATTTAATTGACAATCAGTACTAGAAGTCTCAGTTTCTAATCCCTCTTTAATCATAATTTCAGATGGCAAATACTGAACCAACTGCTGCTTTAAAGCAGCCTCTTTAGCCAACATATGTTTACAAGGCTCCACTGCATACTTTAAAGCTAACCAAGCTGGTATACAACAAAATGAATGACCTGCTGGCTCTTGGACTGTTTCAGTTGAGGTGTTTGTGCTCTCAACAAGTGTGGTGTGAATATGGCTTTTATTTGTATTTTCTGAAGCTATCACAAGCTCATCATTTTCTCTGTTTTCCAGTTTGTTAGAGGACTGACTGCGGCATTCTGGAAATAATTCTTTCATTTCTTGAGAGTTTAATATTGTGATTTTTATTTGGTCCAGTTCACTTGGTCCAGCTTCAGAGTTCTGTCCACAAGTTTGAATCTCTTGTCCATCTTTTAACTCATTTATTTTAGTTGCAGAATCTTCATTTTCAGTGTTCTTTAATGCCTTGGAAGAATCAATTCCATAAGGAAATTCTTGTAAGAGTTCAGTCAACTGATCATTTAGCAATGTTAGAGCAATGTCAATATTGTTCACAGAATGGACTTGATTCTCATCACTTGGTACATCATCTTGGATACTGTGTGTGGTACTCTCATCAGGTATGCTGTTTCCAAGTACTTCTTGGTTACCACTGGCCAGATCTTTACTATGAACATCATTGCAGGACATATTTTGCTCAGAAACCTTTCCAGAATTACGATTGATTAATTCAGTGTTTTTTTCTTCCTCAGACTCTCTTACATTCACCTCATCTGACACCTTACCACCTTTGGGCATCTTTAAACCTGGCAAGCTTAACAGCTTTTCTGCAATAGTTTTTGATAAGGTACATAGTGAGGGTAACAAGACATCTCCCACAGATGTGCTCCCATTCATTCCAGATTCTCTTCTCAAGTGGCTCAACTGTGGTTCTGCATGATATGAATCAGGCCCCTGGTTCTCTGAAGAAATGTTGTGTTCTGCTTTAGAACTAGTATTAAAGATATTAGCTATTTGTGAATTGTACAATGCATCTCCTTGAACTAAAGTACACACGCTGGATATCTGCAACATGTTTTCATTCAACACAGTACCTTCTTGTTCTACCAAATCTGGATTACCTTTAGGAGGACATTTCTGAGAAACTGGACTTGAGTTATCTTTGTTAGTTCCTGGTGGAAAACTATTTCTAGAGTAGAGCTGGGATGTATTTTTTTCCAGTTCTAAAGAACCAGTTAGCCTCTGGTTTTGATTACAATAACAGGCTGTTCCACTTTCAGCACTCTGTATTCCATTTTCTTTAGTGCATTTGACTGGCTTCTGGTACATATCTGACTCTATTTCTTTTACAGTAACACAGGAATCTGATGGAGAACCAGCAGTTTTTACCAGCTTATCAGTATCCGACGTGAGAACAAATTCATGTAAACTGTGTACACTGCCTTCTGAAATAACTGGATAAGTTTTTTCCAACACAGAAGATAAACTCTTTTCCTGTACTTCATTCCAAATTTCCTCTTTTGATAGAATTAACGGAGGAACAATAGCTACTTGAGGTTCAGAGCTCTTTGATGAACTTGAACTTACAGCATCAAGCTTTTGCCCAAGAGATGAGGAAACAGAAGACAGAATTGGTTCATTTTTTTCAACTGTAATGCTAGACTTCTCATAGTGTGTTAATGCATTTGGGAAATTTTTCATGGTATATTTCATCTCTTTATCCTCTACTCCATCCAATGAAGATGAATGCATAGTTGGTTTTGTACTTCCACCTAACTGATCATTTAGAGATGCAGCAGGGCTCTTCCTCCACAAAGCAAGACTTGTTTCTAGCTCCTCCAAAGAACAGGTTTTTCCCATGGTACAAGAATTCCCCGTAAATGATGACCTCTGAACTATTCTTGCTTCTGGAACAGCAGCAATAAGAGAGGCTGAGCTAGGGATATAGTTTTGATTGTTGCAAGCTGTAATGCTCTTCTCGGTTGTTTGGAAACAATGGTATTTATTCTGCTGAATAAATTCAGACCTAGGATTCTGGGAATTTTTAGTTCCTTCTTTTGCTAATTTTTCACTTAACTGTGAAGATTCAGCTGGATTTTGAACTGAAACTGTACTCTGAGGATCAGTCAATATTTTAGTAACAGTTGTTCCCACTTTATCCTTGTTCAATACAAAGCCATTGCCTCCTCCAGACATGGCGGACATGTTTGTTAACTGATCCTTGCCCAATGCAGAAATTTGTTCAAAACCTAGATTGACATTTGTGGATGTCAAAGACCCTTGGGTAGAAACAGTTTGTGAAGTTTTAGGGCTCAGCCTGGAAGCTCTCTTCATATCATTCACACAGGTTTTAGATTTAACATCACTAGAATCTAAGACAGAACCAGAAAAACACATCTCTTGGGGAAACAACTGTTTACTCTGATTTTTCTCAGTACTTGCAACAACAAGGGTATTAAGCAACATTTCTTCATCAAACGTACCTTTAAGTAAACCCTGAAGAATTGGTTTAGAGTAATTTCTTTTCTTCAATGGCAATAAAGACCTGTCTTGGATTTGACTGGAGCTACAGGCAAGAAGTGGTGCCTGATTCTGAGCACTGTCATGTGGAAGCAAGGAGGTAGGATTCTGAGCTGCATTATGTGACAGAGGTGAAAATGTTGGCTGGGTGGCTTGAGGCAGTGGAGCAGTTTGCGGACTGGCATTAGATTTAGGAAACAAAAGATCAGGATTATGAACAGAGGGATCAGAGGCCTTTGACTTCTGTGCTACAGACCGAAATAATTGTTGTTTTAATTTAAATTGGCCTTGCAGATTTAATAACTTATTTCTCATTGCAAGAATGTTTCTCATATCCAGCGTTAGACTTTCTCTGAACTTAGTTAAGCTATCAAGAGCATTTCCTGAGCTTTTATCTGTATAATCTTCTACCATACTTCTAGATGCCTGCGGTGTTGACGTTTTATCAAGAGGAACAGTTCCTGGTATTTGAAGGCTGTCACATAAACCCTTTAAGGCCTCAACCGTCGACTTTGTCAACTCATCGAAAGGCTGGTTTTCAGCGCTATGCCCATGTATACTATCTGCAGCACCTCCTTTTTCATTGGTTTCTCTAGAGATTGGTGCAGACTGAGGAGTCTGAAGATTCTGAACCGAATATGAAATGCTACTTTGATCCAATGCAAGATTCTGAGAATTTTGAACATTTTCATTAGACGAATTTGGAACTGGTTGTGGTAGTACAAACTGTCCATGGTTTATTTGTATAGGAAGCACTGCATACGGTGGTGGTGGGTTTGTGTCAGTGGCCTGAGGGATGACCTGGGCTGCATAATGATTAGTAGGTATGGTATATGGTAAAGAATATGCACAGTTAGAGGCATACTGCTGTGATTGCATAGCTGTTGCAGAGCCAGAATTTATGTCATTTATTTGGTTTTGAATATTTTGCCCTGAAGAAAAAGTAAGGTACGAAGAGTTCTGCTGAGAATTTACAAAATGGCTCGATACTTGGTTAAGAGGCACTGTAGCATGTGTTTGAGGATTAGCAGGCCGATGCTTGGGAACTATCATTGGCAACCTTTTTGAACATAAACTATTTATGTTACCCCAATAAACTGAATTTTGTATAGAATTAGAACCATTTTTTTGTGGCTGGTTATTGTACATATCTGAGGTTATATACTGATTTGCTGGTCTCTGCACAGGATTTGCTGTGCTAAATTGTGGTGCTACATGGGAGATAATATGCAGATTAGAATTTGGCCAGGTGTTCTTGGCCATGCCAGATGTCATTTGGCCAGTCATGTTGGAAACCCGTATATCTGGGTGCTGGCCAACAAAACGCTGCACTGTCCCAAAGCCTGTAACAGGTACTGATGACTTTAGGAGAGGTGGCTGAAAGTTGTTGGATCCCACATTATTTTGAGAAGATACTTGATTTGGCACCATGTTCTCAGTACTAGAATGTATTTTCATAGCTTGAACATTTCCAACGTAAGCTGAAGAATTTTGAATTGATGCACTTGCTTGAGAAAATCCAGATGCAACCTGCTGTGACTGGTACAGTCCCTGAACTTGGAAATCTCTTCCTTTTAAGTTGGTGGCATGATGTGGTCTTACAGTCCAGTCCATCGTGCTGCTAGTGGATTATGTTCCAAAATCTATGGGAAAAGTAAAGATAATGATAATTATACAAGAAAGGTATATTATACCTTTTTCTACAAAGAAATGTATCTTACCCAAAAAACAAAGCAGCAATTTTATTTGCTGTATAAATTCTGTTAACCCCAATCCAATATGGCATTGTTATAGAACTCCCCTTCATGTTCCAGTGCTGCTTCTGTTACTTGCTTCCTGTTTTTACTTGGTTTTTGTACATACTGTAGTTTTTCAAGTCAACAAGCATATTACCAATAAAATAAAACAGTAGAGGAGACTATGCTCTAAAAATACCTCACTTCATATACACATGCAAAAAAGTCTACAAAGAAGCAAAAACAGTGCCTTGAGACATCCAACTATTCCAGCAATAGAAATGAACTGTTTAGTTAGCAGCAGCGGGTCGTACATCTGCTAATCAGCACACAACTATTACAAATGTTATGTCATTTATATTATGGCCTTGATAAAAACCAAGTAAAAACAGGAAGCAAGTAACAGAAGCAGCAGTGGAACATGAAGGGGAATCCCCATAACAGTCTTGTCATTCAGGAATCCAAAAACTTTTACAACCACCACTCACTCATTTACCCTGTGTAAAAATGGAACATTTGAGACTGGACAGCATTACTCAACTCTCCTGGGTCCAGAATAGGTTTCTTTAGAATTGGACACACCACTGCTCGCGTCAAAGCAGGGGTGACCACCCTATATTTCCAGGAGGTATCCACTGTCTTTCAAACTGCTAGCCCCCCCCCCCAGGTAGATTTAAATAGCCAGGAGGGGCAAAGATTGTACAAGCAGGTGGTAGGTCTCAAACGTCCAAGAATCCTGCCTACGGCCTCAGAAAGATATCCCATACAATTGGACACTGAAAGGCTGAACAACACATCCAATTACCATGTCAGATTACACAGGGAAGCCATTGAAATTCATAAGCATAAACACAATTTCAACAGGAAAGAAGAGAGTTTAAAAATAAATAGGGCATGGTTTCCTGTTCTGAAAAACACAAAATGCTCTACATCTTACAATCGCACTACAGATAAGATTAGAATTTCAACAGCCAATCCATATGCAAAAGAACCTCCTCAGGAAAGCTCCTCCATTAGCATGTCACAGCCTGGGGAACTCCTACAAGATAATGACTCAGCCCTACCCCACCTTCTTGAGTAGATATAAAATTACCTGCCTACCATTTTTCTTCTCACCCTGACACAGAGAATACTCCATCTTTCTGTATTAAACCTCTGAGGATGCCAGTCACAGCTGCTGGGGAAACATCAGGTCTTAGAATGCCAAGACCACGGCCATACAGCCCGGAAAACCTACAACAACTAACGAAATCCAGTCGCGAAAGCCTTCGACAACATATAAAAGTAATTGTATTAGTTATACAGAAACTCTCTTATACTATCATAATACACAGAACTATCAGCAAGGTGAATACTCAGTAAAGTAATTGAGGCTAAAGGTTCCCAAATTTACCTACCAGGAACTTAACATACAGAGTCTTCTTACATGTTATAATAGATTTGTCCAGGATTTAAAAACTATTCTATGTGAACCTAAAGGCCATTCTACCACATCTTACAAGAAATCTAAACCCTGGTTTGATGTGGATTGCCAAAAGGCAAGAAAAAAGCTTTCTGCCATTTACTATCAGCTTAAAAAATCAAGTGGTGACCAAAAATTTCTAATCCAACAAGAACTCTGGTCACAAAAAAGGGATTACAAACACCTAACACAACAAAAGAAAAAAAATTACACCAAAGCTCTTTGGGCAGAATTAATTCTGGCTGCCAAATAGAAAAACTCCCTCTTTTGGTGATTGGTCACTAATAACAAACAAAAAAAATTTCTCCCAGACTGATTCCCCCAATTCAGCCCTGCAAACGGGTTACCTTTTTTGAGCAATTGTATAAAGATTCTCCCTTAACCCCAGTGACAACTGCTGATTTTGAGGAGTTGCCTTCCTGGCCACCAGTTTCTCAAGAGGAAATTAAATCCTATATTGTTCAATTAAAATCTGTTAAGGCTCCAGGGTCTGACGGACTGCCATCTGAATTTTTTAAAGAAAATATCGATTGGTGGGCACCCTTCCTTGCAGCCCTTTTCACTATTAGAGACTCTTCAAGCCTTATCCCCTCAGAGTAGAATACGGCAATAGTGGTCCCCATATTCAAAAGGGGCGCAAGAGAAGACCCCGCAAATTATCAGCCTATTAGCCTTTTAAATATATGTAGCAAGTTATATGCTAAACACCTTCTGGTAAAGCTTGAGGATTGGCTGATCGAAGAAAATGTGATTGTGACAGAGCAATCTGGTTTTAGACAGTTTAGATCCACTTTAGACCACTGCCTTGCAATTCAATACCTTATAGAAAAATACGCTGCTAAGGGTCTTAATTTGCTTTTTGCTGCTTTCATTGACTTGAAAGCGGCTTTTGATTCAATATCGAGGCCGAAATTGTGGACCGGCTTAGAAGCTTCCTCAATTGATAGAAGGCTCCTCTTGTTGCGGGCTCTTCATGATAACACCCATTTGCAGGTTAGGCTTAACAGGAAAGGAAATCTATCGGACCCTATTAACACCTATAGGGGAGTTAGGCAGGGTTGCGTACTAGCCCCTTCCCTGTTTAATCTATATATTAATGATATAGTAAGTTACTTGGACTCCCCCAGTTTACAGCCACCAAAACTTCAACAACAGCATGTGTCTATCCATCGCACCACAGGGGTTTATTATGTGCCAGCTGCCCCAAAACTCTTTCAAGCAAAGGCAATTGGAAAGATGTTCTATGGCACTTTTATTGGGTCTCCTTCCTCTAGTTTTGCCCTCTTAGAGTGAGTTCAGTCCAAATTTCTCAGAGCAGTTCTTCAGGTCCTGAGGTGTGTATCAAATACACTGATCCGACTAGAGACAGGTGCTATATCAGTGGAAGCCAAAATTACTTTAGCTTCACTCCAGTATTGGCTTAAACTAAATTTCCATCCTCAGGGACTAACCCACTTGTTACTCTCAGACAACTTTCAATCCAAATGGCTGAAAGCAGTTCATAATAAATTATATGAGCTTGGTTTTTTCCCCCAAGCGATTCTCAGTACATTGGGATGTAGCAAAATCAGCCCTAAAACAGAGAATGATGGACATGGAGAGACAGACAGATCTCAGTAGATGTCCTAGGTTTAGAGCCCCAGATTCTGTCAAATATCACTTGCAACCCATGTCCTATTTATCACAGCTTGATACTCACAAGTTTAGGAAAACCTTCACATAAGTCAGATGTGAGGCTTTCCCCTCCGCGATGGTTGAGGACAGATTCAAAAGGATCCCCACTGAATATAGACTTTGTCGATGTGGCTCAGGAGAGACAGAAACTATTGAGCACATGATGCTCAGATGTAAATGGTATAACAAGATCCGTTACAAATATATTACTCCTCTTATAACAGATATGGTGGGACAATCAGGTGCTGAGCAGTGTACACGATCAAATATATAATAATAGTTGCCTAATAGTCTCTGTTTTATGTTCTTCTTTTACTTTATTACGCTCAACTGTATTTTAGTTTTATTTTACTGTCCTAAATTCAGTTATATGAATTTTTAAAAATGTCATACTACGCATCTTGAGTCACACCTTGTCCTTCATTTTGTTCATTCTAAAAGGGGGGGGGGATCAGAATTTTTTTCAATGTTCCCCCAAATGTCAGTCTTTTATGCTATAAATTTAGTATGAGTGATGCTTTTTGGGACATTTCTCTTACTCAAAAAAGGGAAATATTTCATAGACTTTATTTTTTCAATATTTCCCAATTTTTCAAATAGAAAAAGTCTGAGGACATTTTCATGGTACTAATTCTGAGTGTTAAAAGCCTTGCCTTAAGAAGTATTTCACTCACTCTAAAAGAGAAAATATCACACAGGAAAGATTGGTGGAGATTCCTCAGGGGAAAACACAAAAGGTTTTTCCCAAAAAATGTCCAGGATTTTTCCAGTCATCATATCTGTACAAAATACAAAATATCACAACTGAGATAATACTAATAAAGTAACTTCAACTAGTAACTGGTTCTGTAGAGGTCTCATCCTAAGACCCAACAATCTGAGTACTGTGAGACAACTAGACACAACAATGATAAAAAAATGCCTGAGTAACAATATCTTTTATCCTGTTGTCTGAATGTGCTGAGAGGGTATGAAAGAGGATTTTTCCTGATTTACCTAAAGACCCAACTCTCTTGACCCTCAGAATGGTATGCAAATGGCCATACAAGAATATCTAAAGATTGGGCTGTAACAAGTCAATTTATTTATTTATTTATTTATTTCACATTTATACCCCGCCCTTCCCAATGGGCTCAGGGCGGGTTACAGAGGCAAGGCAGAACCTAGCCATAATAAAACATAATATATATAATAATTTAAAACACATAATACATCTTAAAAATCCTAAATTAAAACATGGTGCTCAATCACCTAGACATGAAAACACTGTCCAACCCAGCTAGCAAAGATTTGCCACAATAGGTGCCATCACATACGAATGCCATGAGGCCTTATGTTGCCAAATGAACAACTGGTATCATCCCTATTGTAGCATTATAACCAGCAATGAGAAGCTGAAGAATATTTTTTGTCCCAGTCATTTTATTTTCTGCCCTCTTGGCTACAGGTTGTGCCAACATGAAAGGGCAACCCTCCTTTTTTGTCTTACACATTGAATAAATCTTTTTTCTAGTAGGCATCATAGTAGCAAGCCCAAGGTTCATAAGTAAGGTCTGTGGTGCCCTCTCAAATTAGGAAGCCTTCTTGACCCACAAAGTCTAAAGTGAATGTGCGGCAGACTGCTTTGGAGTCAAGCAGGTTACTTCTATGTCCAGTGCTTCTGCTATCTTCAGCATCTAGTTAACCTGTGTTGCATCCAGACTAAGCCTTTTGCCTGTGAGAGGTGTGTTTTAGAATTTTACTCTAAGACACTTGCAGAGAGAAGGCTAGA